CAGGATTTGTTCAAGCATTCCAGAATTAGGCTATATTTTCAGGATAGGTCTTTCAATTGAGCTAATCTATTGTGTTATGGTCTGGACATGTTCATTTATGGCAGTTATCTGTATGTGGTAGGGATTGATCCATTCCAGGAAAATCAACCCTCTTTGGTGTCAAGAATAGCACTGACATGCTATGAACTGGGTGATAGTGGGTTCTTTTTAAAATTATGATTATAAAGCCCAGTTCTTTCAAAATCTGCAAACATCTTTTTCCTGTTCAATCTAGGATGACTGAAGCAGTATATCCTATAGGCAGGAGTGCATGGGGATATGAGATTGGCTATACTGATTACCATCAATACCTCAAGAGCTGTTGAATGGAAGACAATGGGTACCTGAGAAATATCTAAATAAACCTCTTGTCTTTCTTGAGATATTCTGTATTGGATGTTTTCATCCCAAACCTTTAATATTTGATATGGTAATTTATACATTACATATCCAAGCTAAAAAAAAATTCAGGAATAATGAAGAATATGAAATACAGTTATCTTGAATGATCTCTTTTTCTGTATTGAGACAAGAACTTCATTTTGTCTTATGAAACTTATGGGAGGGCATATAATAACTTAGTGTATATGCACTGTTGAACTCTACCATGACATTTGTGACTCTCTTTAGATTATGTGTAGTTATATGGGTTCATTTTGTGGGCACATCCCGTTAGCCTCCCACCTATAGAGTTTTTGCCACTCCTCACAATCCTGATGGTTTTCCCATTCAATCCTAAATTGTTATAGGCTTCAGGCAAGAAGAGGCACAAAGTAGGCATGTGAGCAGCAAAGAAAATATCCACTAATGTGCGTCATAGGAATTCTTAAATTGGAAAAATTCTTAAATCCTACTTTGTGTTGGGGGTTTTACAGAATTTATTAACCTGAGGTAAATTTGCAAGTGTGAATTCTGGGACTGGCTATTGGTGGCTCATAGACTGTTCCCCTCCTTTCTCTCTGTTCTTTAATGGAATTATCTAAATTGCATAGAGACCAGGACAGCTTCCATTAGATGTTCAGCTCTTTCCCGTCTGATGGCAGCCCGAGCATCGACAACTGCAGTCAGGAATGGAATACGGGGATTGCTGCAGAACTTCTCCTCGCACCTTGAGTTGATTCGATTAGGAAGACTCTAGGACTTTTCCCATCCTTTTCGTCTCTTATGCATACAGGACAGATACTGAGATCATAGCCTTTCCTGGTAGTCTCTGGGAATAAATGCTGAGAGATTGGAAGTGATGGTTCCTCTAAAAAGGGTGAAGAGAAACAATACATAGCACGCTGGATTTTTTTTCGCTTTCCACTGCCCAGGCTACCTGGCTACCTAGAGATGGCAACAAATTCTGTAGCAGCTGTGCTGGTCACATGGTTTGTGGCTAGTAACTCAGCAATTATGGTGTTGAAGAGATTATGGAAATAAAGGTGAAGCGAGTGTTAGCATGTAAATACATACTAACTTTATGGCCCAGACCCAGCTTTGAAGGAATTCTGATGTATCTCCAGGCTGGACATTAGGAGTTCCTGCTGATATGCTTTGTGGGCATATCAGTCTGGAAAAGGAGGAAAATTAGGACAAGGGAAGAAACAGTCTGAAAATAAAAGATGTCCTGGACAGAGCTGATGGGCATAAATGCTCTGGGGAAAATAGCAGAACCAAATCTGGGGATGGTGCTTTTAGAAACATTAGTATTTTCTCGCCTTGCCTTGTAGAAAGGGAGATATCCTACTGTAGAATGTCTTGGCTCCATTTCATACAAATTATTTTAACACATCAATTTAGAATCATGAAACTGTTAAATTCTATTTCTTCACTCTGATCTTTTTTGTGCAGCAGTTTAGTCATACATCTTCATCTAATCCAGCTCCTGAGTTTGGACAACCCATAGTTTTAGAGAATGGAAAATGTTCATCACATAATACATCCCTCAGATCAAACCTGATGTTTGTCAAAGCCAAGATTTTTTCTAACATTAATCATTAATACTAAGACTCATCTGCTCTTTGAAGCAGATATCCAGGTAAATAATGGAGTAATAACACCCTTGTTTGTCTTCGGGGTTCTAACTCCAGAAAATGCAATCCATTATTGGCAATCATGGCAAATCCTTATTCAGTGTCATGAATGCAAGTAAAATGCATGTTTTGATGCTGAATCTTAAAAATCCATAGAAGAAAACCCTAGAAATTAATCTTACCAATTTGCTCACAGTCTTTCTCTCAACCCCAGATGTGACATAATTAGAGCTATTTCTATCTGTACCCTGATCAATTAGCCCTATATTACTGTTAGATAGAGTGGAACATTTAAGAGAACCATTTAAGCTGAAAATATAGTATATGCAATGCAGCAAATATTTCCATTCATCCTAAGGGGCTGTGCACATGAGTAACACATGACATTTATCCCATGTTCATAGAAAAAAAAAATCCAAAACAAAGCTTTATTTTCAAAGCTTTGCTAACCACTGACAAGGTGGTAACATACACAAGTTTCTAATTTGTTCTGGATAATAATCACCACCATGGTGTTTAGGATTGAAAAGAGGGAATTACACTGTAACACTGGATCAATAATATATATTGGAGTTGATAATCAATAATTGTATTTCCCTACTTGAGCCAGATGATCATTTAAAACTATAAATTAGAAGAGATTAGAGTGAAGAGAGAAATGACATTTAAAAAAAACTTAAAAAAAAATCTTTTGGAACAGTCTAAATTTAAACCCCTATAAAAGCTATATATTGGTGGGGGTTGATAAAATTCATTGTAAATGTTTGTGTAAAAAAGCAGGTATCTGTGCAAAAGAAATTGTGAATATAGAGATCACAGCACAAATTTCATATGGAGCAATGAGAAAACATATTTTCTGATCTCTAAGTAAATGTGCAGCTAAGAAAAATAAAAAAAACATGTCACAGAATGATATAATAAAACAGTGGAATTCTACCTCACCTTAGTATAATTAAGATATAATTAAGAAAGTTTTTTAAACTTCTATAAGCTAGGCAAGGGAAAAATAAATTAATGTAAAATGTGGGAGGTTGCTCTGGATATGACTTTGCAATCTGTGCTGGGCTTTTGCTTCCAGAAGTGGGTGAAAACCACCGTCCCTTTAAAATCTAACTTACTAACTACTAACTAACTTAGGGAATACTTAATGTCTCTTGCCTTGCTTGTCTTTCTGCCTCCCTGATCTTATCAACTGAACATTCTGAAATATTACCATTTCCAGGGTAGGTTTCAATTTCTTGTTAACAGGGTGTATTGAGACAATACTAAAATTGCCCTGATGTTTGAAATACATAGTCTTCAAATCTGAAGGCTGAGATGAGTGTGATTATAATGGGAGTTTGCAATCCAAACAACCAAAGAGCCTCATTGGGAAAGATCTAAACTCTAGGTCAACTGTCCTGCAAAAGAAAAAGAAACCTGTTATGTAAGTCATACTGTGTCAAATACTGGTACAGAAGGAAAAAAGCAGCACATCCAATAGTTTGAATGGCAAAAGCGAATGATAAATATTCACTAATAAGAAGTATGTATAAAAGCAGGATATTGGATATAACGGAAAGTATATAGTGACCTTTGGCAAGTGTTTTGGAGTTCCATTTGCATTATTTGTGAAGAGAATGTTGGAATGTTGCCAGATCATCCCCACAGCCCTTTGAAACCATGTCTGATACTAAAAATGGCTTCTGAAAATTGATTCCAGTGTTTTTTGAAACACTGAAACAGCTTTGAGCAAATCAAACCAAGTTCAGTAAATATATCGTTCAGTATTGAACTGGATGGACCTTGTGAATTTTTCCATCATGAGTTCTACTTACTTCTAAATAAAATGCAAACATCTGATGTAGTTTCTATAAATATCCAGCTATTTGAAAAAGAATTTTCCAAGTTCATCTAATAACGGAAGAGAGTATTTGTCACTGAAATTAGAATAACCTATTTTTATATACCATTTCTGATTTATGAGGCACCCATTCCTTTGGAAGTGATTATAATAGACAGAACTTCTCTCTCCTCCCCAGATTGCATTACTTTTTTAAAAAAATGTAGAATAATCTTTATAAAAGGGTTTTTGCTTTTATAACTTCAACCCATTTCACATCTGTTTTCAAAGCTTTATCTCCTAGTGGTATAATTATGCCTTTTTGAAAAGAAATATTAACTTGGCATGTATATTATATGTTCAGTCATTTCATACAGTTTCAGATTTAGACATCTAGTTTATATAAAAAAGAAGATACTGAGGAGAATAGGGGGGGAAAGATAGCAGGCCTGACATTACAGATTTCTAGCTTTATCATCACAACAATCTAGGAAGCCTCTGAGCCAAATATTATAAAAGAAGAGAAACTGCTGAACCTCCAAGATGAGCATGCTCAGTGTATGTGCCGGCACAGAAAACAAGGAAGTACAGAAGCGCAGGAATCTACATCTCACAATGGCTGCTGTTTTAACATTCCTTAACACACATATGATTTTTTTTCTTTTAAAATAAAAAATATACCCAAGGGCATTGTGTTTTCTTTTTGCTTTGTACATTTTCCTCCTACTGAACAGTATCTTCAAGGTTCAGTGCTCATGTTTGTTCCTCCTCAGTTATAAACCTCTCCTTCAATCCCAACATCATTTTTTTTTTGCTGCTTTCAGTGTCAAAAGAACAACTTCTCTCTCTCTTGGAAGCAACAGCAGTTCTTCTGATGTGCGAAGTGATTCAACCAACAACTCTTTTCTCCCACCCGCCACCCCATGATTTCTTCTGAGCCGGCTTTGTAGGAATGGTTTACAATTATAGCAATCCACCCACGGGGCGATGGGGGGGGGGGGGAAGGGGAAGAGGATAAAGTTCCCATAGATTTAGGTCCTCAGTTTCAGAGACCTTCAGTCTATTGGAATAAGTAAGTATGTATATACTAATGTGTGTGTGTGTGTGTGTGTGTGTGTGTGTGTAAGTGTGTCTTTTTATGTGGGATAAAAAAGGGGAACAATGTTTTGCACCAGCTTCCCCTGCTTTGTTTTCCAAAAGCCCTGGTGAAGGAGCACTGGCATCATTTTGTTGGCAGAGATACTGGTGTCCACTGTAACTTCTAGAAGGGTAATTTAAATACTCAGTTTGTTTTTCACAAGGTAGACTGGCTCTCACGTCATAGGATGATGCAACATCTGCAGAAACGCTGTCTGCTGCCCCCCACAGATGGTGGTGGAGTTACAGGTGCAAAGTAGGCGTGGACTTTAATATTGGGTAAGTGGGTCTGAAAAGACAAACACATTTTTTTCCCATTTAGAAAAACTTAAAAATACCAAAAACATGAACAAAGATTGTAAATTTAAAAAGTTGAACATGAAGTAATATTGGACCCTTTTTATGCAGAAAAAATATTTTGTAAGAGCCAGAAAGATATTTTAAGGAAAACCAACGGGTTGTTTCCAATCTTCCCCAGTTTAGTTTTATGCATATGTATTTTTTTTACTTCAATATTTTCTCTATTATCTGGTTGCTTCTGTAAAGAGAACTTCCCTTAATCTCACTTTCTGTAGATTTGTAAAAGACACTGATTCACAAATGAAAACGAAATTGAGGTGCAGGGACACAAACATGCATGACTGAAGGGCTATTTCATCATCAGGCCAAGATGTAACATTTGGGTCAGGCAATTAAGTTCTTAGGATGCTTGAACTGTGTAAATAATTATCTTATTTGAGCTCCTTTAAATAATGTGCAAGGCTGTGCAAGGGCTTTTCTGCACTGAGAAGGATCTGACTGGTGTCCATGAATATCACCATTCTCTCAAGAAAGCAGGGAAGGCCCTCAAACAGATCAAAGTATCTCAGATGAAGGAAGGAAGTAATGAGATAAATTACATTTTGGCTATCTATTAAAAGGATATATTTTTATAGAAAATTACCAATAGTCACTGGATCCTATGAATACTTAGTAAAGTTGGAAACTAATTTCAATCTCATTCTTAACCTACCCAGGTAACAAGTCTTAGATTTTGATTTACTATTGATTTGTCACATTTATGTCCTGTCTTTTATCTAAGCTGTTTACATGGAAGTCTGTTCTAATTTTATCTTATAATTATGACAGCCCTGCAAGAAAGATTGGACTGAGAGAATAACTGACTCCCAATTTCCAGTGCATTCTGTGGGTGAGTGGTGCCTTGAATCTATACCTTCCCAGTTGAAACTGAATACTAAGTCTAATATGCTGATATTATGCCATATGTTCTTACTTTCAGTTTGAAGAATATGTTCTAAGTAGTTGCAGCTATTGTTAGGATGAGAAAAGAGTTAAATAAGTACAGGAGCTAGAACTGTACGCACATCAATCTATCAAACAATGTAAATGTATTCTTACCCTGAGTCTCTTAATTCCAGCTCGGGTAATCTGTTGGCAGTCATACAATTCTATCCTTTCCAGGCTGTGGCAGCTCTTGAGGTGTTCCAGGGAGGCATCTGTGATCAAGGGGCAGTTATCCAGCTCAATGACCTCCAAACGATCATGGGCACAGGCACCATTGCCTAAATGGCGAATACCATCATCAGTAATCAGCTCACAGTGTGATAAACTCTGCCATTAAAAGAGAAAACAAAGCAACAGGTGGTAATCAAGGCTTGGCTATGCAGATTTTTTCAATCTAATTTACCAGACCCAGGCCTCAATTATCCTCTACAATCTGTTCTGCTGAAATTCTGCACAATCCTTCAGGTGAAAATACACAGGCCTCAGGGATCCTCTTTTCTTCAGATAAGAACCCCAATTCTATATATACTTTGGGTAACATGTCAATTCCTCTCTCTGCAATTTTTAAATTTGAATCATAAGTAAGTGATCTTAACAATCTCCAAAGTGATTGTGGATGGCTTATAAATGTTAAAACAATGGCAGTTTAATAAAACCAAATGCTTGATGTCATACACAATTCAATTCATAAATATATCATGTCTACATTGACTAGCACAGCTTGCCTAACTACAAGACTCAGACATCTGGGGGAATAGCTAAGTGTGTAACACATTAATCCTAATCTCCAGAAGAGTGTTCTATAGCAGGGGTATTCAAACTTGGTCCTTTTATGACTTGTGGACTTCAACTCCCAGAATTCCTCAACCAGGCCTTCCCTTTTCTCCTCTTCAGATTTCTGCAATGGCTAGTGTTTTTTTCAAGTTATTGTATACTTGGCCCTTTTATAATATATAAAAGCTGTTTAGGGTGACATTTAACAGGGCTGCAGTCCTATTCAGAGCATTTATGGAATATTGAGTTTTATCTGGTTGTATGTAAGGTATATTTTCAACTGTATAACTCAGCCTCTTAAAGGTGCTCTTCAACTAAGATATATAATAAAATATTCTCTTAGCCCTTTTGACTCATATTCTAACATTCTATAGTACAGATGAAAAAATGGGTTGGGTAAAATGTTAGCCTGCAAGAAAAATATTAACTCACCAAAACTTGGAGCAGTGGACAGTGTATGGAAAGCTGGATTAATGTGCTGTCTGTTATCTGGAAGAAAACAAAGACACGTTTGAAACTAAAACTCTGTATTGTACTGGCAAGGAGTTTCATGTGCATCATTTTGTGTTAGCGTTCTTCCAGACACAACATAAAGTTTGAAGAGGAGGGTTGCTAGGAGAAGTACTGATTCTTCTCTGGTCATTTCTACAATGAGGATTTTGGGTGGTGCCAAAACCCAAAATGTGAATTGCTTAATATAGAAAGCACTGTATTTCTTTTTCTGTTCCAAAAGTTTTATTAGTTTATAGTATACAATACAATGAAAATACAAAAGTAGATAGCGGAAAAGATAGGGAAGGGAAAAGGAAGTAGAGAAGTGAGGTAAGGGAGAGAAAAATTAAGAAGAGGCATTGACTTCCAACTTCTTTTGGTAAAGTAAAGTAGAATATCAACATCAAACTTCAACTTTTTACTTTTACAAAATAATATAAACTAGCCATTTCAATAACATCAAGTCTATCTAATTGGTAAAACCCAAAATCAAAATTTCATTTTTTCCACCTCAAGCACAAGCGGAAAGTACTGTATTTCTAAGCCAGTGGTTCTCAACCTGTGGGTCGGGACCCCATTTGGGGTCGATCGACCATTTCACGGGGGTCGCCAAGCAAGGCTGTCTGCCATTTTTTTTGTCTGCCATTTTTTCCCTTTTCCGGCGGGTGCCTTACCTCCCTTGGGCTGGGCCAGCTGGTGGTCGGCTTGCTCCGTCTCCGCCGCTTGCCAGCTATGCCTCGGCCGGCGCAGGGGGCGGAAACACGCATGTGCAGCGCTCCCGGGCAGGGAAAGTCCTTGACTTACGACCGGTTTAGTCCTTGACTTACGACCGGTTGGGGTCGCGGCATTAAAAAGGTTGAGAACCACTGTTCTAAGCCAATAATAATGCTATCCATAAATTAGATAAAATTTGTCTTTCAAATTCAAATTACACAGGATTTTTCTCAATAGGATTTAAAATTTGGGTCTCTTTACAATTAATAACTAAGAGGAACATTAATCTGAAGAAGACCTGAAAACTCACTTAATCACAAATTAATTAGTGCTGACAATTATGGAGGGATCTGATTAAAAGAAAAGAAGAAGCACAAGACCATGGAGAACTGAAATCAATCCTCTGAACTTTAAAAACTTTTTCTCTACTTTGTTCCTCTTATTCCCAGGATGATACTAAGGATTCTGGTAGATGACATACCAGTTGTTTCCCATCATGTAATCTAACCCTTTTCCTAGTTATTATGTCCGTGAATCTTCATAATATAATGGTATGCAACTAAACTGATTAATCTCCAAAGTAGCAGCAGAGCAGAACCTTTGATATATTCTCAAACTCTCTGGTAATGTGTAATAAAGAATGGAAATGGGATGTTAGGAAACTGCATTGACATTTTTCCTTGTTTGCTTAAAGCAGCCAATGAAGCACAGTGAGGAAGCTTTCTGCCTTATGTATTGCACACTTTGAAAGATGTTTATTGGACCACAAAAGAGAAAAGTGGAAGTGGATCAGCTGCTTCCCACTAGACTAGAGCAAGCGTGTCCAACCTGTGGCCCAATGGCTGTATGGGGCACTGGACAGCTCAGTAATGCAGCCCTGCAGGACCATAAACGTTTAACATTATTATGTGTATTTATATATGTTAACTATATTATATATTTATATGTGGCCGAAGACAATTCCTCTTCACTCTGTGCAGCCCAGGCAAGCCAAAAGATTGGATATGCCTGCACTTGTTCTAATTCTGAATTTCATTACAAAGTTAATAAATGTGATCCAGAGACTTATTTCAACTTGTGGCATTACAACCATGAATTACTTTCCTTAGGTAAATAACCCATTATATATTAGTAATACCCCATCTTCATCATTACAGAGTGGTCTCACAGCCAAATTATCACTCAAAAATATTTCTTGCTTCACTGCTTGCTATGATGCTTAAAAGCAAAATCAAGCATATTCTTGATAAATTATAATTTCTTTTTCATTACATAACTTTTAACTAAATAATCTAGAAAATAGGTTAAAAATAGTACAATTACCTGAACACATTCCTCCAAGTCCATTTTTTCAAGTTCATGACAATTCTGGAAAACATATAAATTAAAGATTAATTTGTTTTTGAAACATGTCCTGGTATTGCAGAATAGTTTCATTTGTTACTAGGAAATAATTTCAGTGTCAGCAATTGGAAAACTTACTTAAAAATAAGGATAAAAAAAAACAAGTTTGCCAGAGAACTCGATTACATGTAATGTATTAAAATTGTTTTAGGGCAAGTTAATTTTGTTCAGAAATAAATATGGAAATATATTGCTCCCCCCCTTTCTGACTTGATTCTAAAAAAACATCAAAGTTTGCAGTCGCAATTTTACTTAAATGTCTGTCAAAGCAATTTGTTCTTATTCCATGAACTGAGTTTTATTTTTAGCACTAGATGGTATCTAACTAATCAAATGTACTTCAAATGGGTTACATTAATGAGGCATAGGTATCTGTGCATTATGGCCTTAGACCAGTCACTGATCTCCATGTTATTACATTTCAATTCCTATCATATTCAACCACTGTGACCAGAGGTCAAGTATGGGCATGGTATTTCAAGAACAATGGGGCCCAAGATTGGAAAACGCTAGTTATAAAATACAAGAGTAAAAAAATAAAAAATTAGAGGAAAAGGTTTTGTAATGTTTGCACTAAATTTAGACTGATGGATAAAGCACCACCAATAAAAAATATTAATTTGCTGCATCATCTATTCCAGGGCTTTTCAACCTTTTCACCCATTGTACCACTTTTAGGATATGGCATCATCCGAGTACCACCAGTCGCCTAGCAAGGTGTCAAAAACTTGATGACCCCCCCAAAAAAGGAAAAAAGTGATAAAGTACAGGTAGTCCTCGACTTACAACAATTCGCTTAGTGACTGTTCGAAGTTACAATGGCACTGAAAAAAGTGCCCCCCAAGCCACAGCCGAGCAAGATACCTGCCAGCCAGCCCGGCCATGCTCTTCCTCCTGTCCGAGGTTTTCATTGTTGTGAGCATTTCTGTTGAGGATTGGCAGCAGGGGTGGGGGGGGGTGTTTGGTTTTTATTCCCCCCGTCTGCTGGGTGGTTGCAGCAGGTTTTGGTCACTTCACATGACCCTGGGACACTGTGACTGTCATAAATATGAATCAGTTGCCAAGCATCTGAATGTAAATCACAAGACCCTGGAGATGCTGCAACATTCCAGCTGATCGGCACTTCTTCTCGGCTCAGCAGAAGTGCCAGGATCAGTGCTGCTTTCCAGCTGATTGGTGCTTCTTCAGGGCTCAGCAGAAGCACCAGGATCAGCGCCGAGCTCCAGCTAGACCCTGGCGCTGATCCTGGCGCTTCCGCTGAGCCCTGACAGCCCTGCAGCTCCAGCCATCTCTCGCTCAGGCTTGTGTGGTGCTGCCACTGGTTCAGCTTATTCCCCTCCCCCGCTACCACTTTTCTAGGATGCTCGCGTACCACCTGCCAGGCGCCAATGTACCACAGGTGGTACCCGTACCACTGGTTGAAAAGCCCTGATCTATTCAACCACATCAAGCACCTGTAACACTATTAAATTAGAATCATCTTAAAAATGCTTGGAAACACATATTCTGTTGAGCTCAAAATTCTGGTTCTTTTCAGATCTTTCATGTTCATACAAAAAAGCAGGCATAGGATATATTATTTGAAAAGATATGGACTGGAAAAAACCAATGAGCTCCCATATCTCAGCATGTTAGTTTTTTCCTGCACCTTGGATTCACTTCTAGACTCAAAAAGAGAAGACTGACTAGATTAATTAAATGTTGGTAATAAAGCATGAATGGGGGAAAACTCTATGTTCATTCATTCTCGTGGGTTGTTTTTTTGTTTTGTTTTTTTGAGACATCATGTCCTGCTTTTGATATATTTCAGGAAAGGCAACATAATGATATTCTCTTCTTATCAAGTTTGATCTTTAATTTGCTTCCCTTTCTTCTTTGTTATTAGGACTAATCCTACCATTTAGGCTCAAGACCTACTAATATTACTGATTTGGATATGTGAAACTCTATCTGTTTTTTTCTCCCATCCTTAAAGCTCCAGTGCAGCACCAACAGCATAACGGCTCCCAAGGAAATACTGAAACAGGACCGGTCCGCTTATGAAGTACTGGCATAGATAGTAAACCAAAGCATTTACAGGTAGCCCTCCACTGAGCCACGACTGAGCCCAAAATTTCTAATGCTAAGTGAAACATTTGTCAAGTGAGTTTTGCCCCATTTCACGACCTTTCTTGTCCTAGTTGTTAAATAAATCACTGCAGTTATTAAGTTAGTAACATGGTTATTAAGTGAAACTGCCTTCCCTATTGACTTTGCTTATCAGATTACAAAAAGTGATCACATGACTTCACTGCAACTGTTATAAATATGAATCAGTTGCCAAGCATCTGAATTTTGATCATGTGATGGGGATGCTGTGATGGTTGTAAGTGTGAAAAATGGGCATGTCAGTTTTTTCAGTGCCGTTGTAACTTTGAATAGTCACTAAATGAACTGTTGTTAACTCAAGGACTAGCTGTAATGGAAAAGGCGGCCTTGACATAAAATGCTTACCCGAGCCAGAGTTGTGAAGCCCACATCTGTAAGCTGGGAACACCGAGCTACTTCCAATATCCTGCAGGGGAAAATAAATAAATAAACACACACAAACACATCAACAAACAGTTTTTAGTATTTAAAACCTACTTCTGAAATCTCAGAAAGCCAATATGAACTAAGGAATACTTTTTAAATCCCTTATTCCAAAATAGGTGAGAGATGTTGAATTCTTCCTACTCCCATTTCATGGGATTTTAGATATCAACAATCCTATCAAGAAAATCAAACACTAATAGAAGAAAGAAATATATAAATTTCAGAAACAACTTGTTCCTTCTTATGAGTTATTTCTAAATTTTAGTATGTTTACTATGTTTCCCAGCACTGATACTGAAGATTTTTCAGAAATAAAAATCTCCATTCCTGCTTGCCTTTCTTAGCTAAGGAAACACCTTTTAGCTGAGTCCTTTTGTCATCTATCTCCTCCCTTCACCAACATATATCACTGCCCTGTCTTTGATTCCCAACAATGCTTCATAGAACTGTTTTAGGGCAAGTTAATTTTGTTCAGGTTCTCAAACTGATCTAATCAAAATTATCTTAATAATCAATTTATGGAAGAATCACACTGTTGTTTCTGAATGATAAGTTAGCTTTCGAAAGGGAGGTGGACACTGTTCATAATAGTATAATGAAACTATTCTACATAGTGATGTTTTATTCTTTCTCCACAAAGATATGGAATATATTCTAAACATATTAACATCCTTACATGCTCCTACATTGTCCTGTGGAGGAAGAACTGGTTACTTACCTGCAACTGTAGTTTTTCAAACAGTCTTATGATTTGATGTACATGGGTTGTGTGCATCCACAGAGCCCCATTCAGAGCCTTCCAGATCTTACAAACATCTTTTGAAAGGAGCCCCATCCTCATATGTACTATATGACTATGCACTGTTCTCACTGAACCCCCTCAATTCCTAAGACTGATACAAAAGACTTGAAGAAAAATTAAGGTTACTGGAGATGAAGCCAGGTAATAAGTTGCATTGTGTAAATTTGCAGAGGACTACTGTAAGAACTGCAGTTACAGATAAGTAAGCAGTGCTTTATTATAATGATTTCTCTCATTCACATTTGTGCATCTAAAAGCTTCTTATTTAGAAGAAGTCTGGATGACATAAGGTTATCAAAGCAAGGAAAGCCCTTCCAAGGATTGCATCTCACTGTTAAGTTTGAGTCTGTTTTTATGTTGAATGAAGGTGGAGGCCTGAGATCAAGGAGCTGCCCACATACAAGGGCAATTTGGAAATAAGCATCCGTTTGGTTATCAATGACAGACAACCGCAGACATAGAACTTTTATTATACACATTGAAAAACTACAACATTATGTTACTTTTTGACATAATCACCATTCAAATTGAGGCACTTGTCATAACTTACTACAAGGTTTGAAATTCCTTAGTAGTTGCTCAGCGCCAAATCTGGGCTATGGGGGGGGGGGTGATCAAAAACATCCCAGCGAAACTGCTTCAAAAGGTCTTGGGTGTATCCAGCGGTATGTGGGCGAGCATTATTGTGAACCAACACATTGGAAGTGGTGCCATAGAAAATCCCGCCAAATGTGAGGACGCCAAAGGTATACTGCTAGTGAAGTTCATGGAGTGTGGTTTGACCATCAGTTCAGAAATCTATTGTGAAACATTATGAAAACTCAGACGAGCCATCCATAATAAGTGTCGGGGCATGCTGACTTCCGGTGTGGTGTTGGTTCATGATAATGCTCGCCCGCACACCAGTAGACCGCACCCAAGAACTTTTGAAGCAGTTCCATTGGGATGTTTTTGATCACCCCCCTAACAGCCCAGATTTGGCATCGAGCGATTACTACTAAGGAATTTCAAACCTTGTAAGACATTATGACAAGTGCCTCAATTTGAATGGCGATTATGTCGAAAAGTAATGCAATGTTGTAATTTTCTAATGTGTATAATAAAAATTCTGTATCTGCAAGTGTCTGTCATTGATAACCAAACAGAGGTTTATTTCCAAATTGCCTTTGTAGCTTCATTAAGGTAATGCTCCAGTCTAGGGAAATGTTGCCAGTTCTGCTGTCACTCTTGATAAGAGTACAAACTGCAAGAGGCAAAGCTGATATCTAATAACAAGCTTACATGATTGCTACTATCTATTAGGAGAATATTGTGAGGAAAGCTCTTCCCTTTAAATAGGCATTATAAGGCCAGGAATGAACTTTATTACACAGTGAAACAAGCATTTGGTTCAGGTAAAAAGTACAAAATGAAAAATGAAGCAGTGTTTTTACTGGTATTTAGAGCTAGGGAAAAAAAGGCGAGCAATAAAAATTCCAATGTTAAGTGGAACACTGAGGCTGATTTTGAAAGAAAAGAAAAATAATGGAAAAAAAATCTATTCTTGATAACTGAATGTCTCAGCAATCAAAAAAAGCTATTTTCAAGAAAATGAGATTAAATGGAAGAGTAATCATGGGTCAAAGAATATAACATAGGGAGGAGGCAGAACTGTATTAGGCCTTCCAAGAAATGCTTTATAAGTGGCTAGAAAATAAGCATTTTCCAATAAAAAGAAAAAAGGAGGAGATGGCCATAAGATACACTGTTATTGAACAGAAAATAAAGCCTCATTGCTTCAAATGAAGGGAAAAGATTGAAACACGATGGATCTGATATTGTCAGGGACTGAATCCTTCTCAGCAGAGGATTTCCATTTAAGTGCAAAGGAAGCCCATTTGTGTGGGCTGTTTGGTGCTGATGTATGAGAAAGCCACAGGAAGGGGATGAAGGGAGACTGTAAAACTTTCTCCCTTTACTATTTCATCTATGCCACAACTCTTCCAATTGACTATCAATTAACACAAAATGTTAGAATCTTCCCAATTCTCTAAGATGCCCTGTCTCATGAACAATTCTCTGAGTTCATCCTTTTCAAACTGGTCAATTAAAGTAAGATCATTCTATCCCACATCTCTAGTACGTGTTTCCCTGAAAATAAGAACCAGTCTTATTTTTATTTTATTTTTTTGCCTCCAAAAGAGGCACCAGGTCTTATTTTCGGGGGATGTCTTTTCCATGCTCTCACCTTGCTGTGGCGGCACCGACAGCCCCGTCCAGCCGGCCCACTTCTTCTGCGACCAAAGGAAATGCATGTGCAGCTGAGAATGGAGCTCCGGCCTGCATTTTGCTATCAGAGGCCTTCCAGAAAGGCCTTTGTAGCCGAGAAACAAACTACGGATTCCATAACTTGGTTCTCGGCTGCAGAGGCCTTTCCGGAAGGCCTCTGATGGGAAAATACAGGCTGGAGCTCCATTCTCAGCTGCAGACGCATTTCCTTCGGCCGCAGAAGTGGGCTGGCTGGGCGAGGCAAGTGTCGATTCATGGGAGGCCTGGCTGCAATGGTAAGCGGGTGTGGGGTGCATGGGGCAGCTCCATCCCTACCCTAGCTTGATTTTTAGGCATGCGCCTCACCCCAAAACTAGGGCTTATTTTTGGGGTAGGGCTTGTATTAGGCCCACCCACCCCAAAATCAAGCTAGGGCTTATTTTCGGGGTTGGTCTTACTTTCGGGGAAACACTATATATAACTAAAAATCTCATACTCACACACAAAAACCTACAGTTGCTCCATTATTCTTGAAAACCTCTTTATGAAGTTTGTTACTTGAAAGGGTGCCTCAAGTATCCTGGACCCATGCTATGAAGGGCTTTAAAGGTGATTACCAACACTTTGAATTACACCTGGAAGCAGACCGGCAACCAGTGCAACCCACAGAGCAGTGTTGTTACCTGGACCACTCTTGGGGCCCAAAAATGATGGTACAGCTACACTCTGTACCAGCTGTAGCTTCTGAATGCTCTTCAAGGCTAGTCCCTGGTACAGCATATTGCAGTAGTCCAAATGCAAGATGATTAGGGCTTGAATGACTGAGTGCAGGGACTCCTGATCTAGGAGAAGCCGTAACTGCAACCTGCTCTTCAACGAGTTGAGAGTTCAGGAAAATGCCCAAATTGTGGACTAGATCTGTCTGGGGCATTGCCACGCCATCCAGAACTAAAGATGTCAAAGTCCTGGATCTTGGAGCTCCATGCACCCAAAGCCATTCAAGCTTGCCAGGGTTCAGTCAAAGCTTGCTGTTCCCCATCCAGGCCTTCATAGCCTCCAGGCACTGTGAGAGAGCAGAAACAGCATCGTTTGGGTCACCAGGGATAGAAATACAGAACTGAATATCATCAGCATGCTGAAAACACTTCAACTCATGGTGATGGATGGTCTCATTCAGCCACTTCATGTAGATGTTAGAAAGGAGTGGAGAGAATACTGAGTCCTGTGGTATGCCACAAGAGTGGCCATGGGCTGTATCTCTCACTTCCTATTAACACCAATTTCGATCAGCCTTGAATAAAGAAGCTGAACCAATGCAATATTGTGCTGTCCAGCTTCAATCCAGGCCCAAAAGGATACCCATGTTGATGGTACTGAAGGCTGCTGAGAGGTCAAAGAGAGAAGATGGTTGCATTATCCCATCCTGCTCTTGCCAGAGATTATCAAGAAGCTCGACCAATGCTATTTTTGTACCATAACTGAAAGGGGTCCAGATAATCAGTTTCATCCAGGACCCTCTGAAACTGCCACGCAACCACATTTTCCATTACCTTCCCTAAGAAAGGAAGATTGGAAACAGGATGAAAATTGTCCAAGAAGGTAGGATCAAATGATATTTTTTAAAGCAAAGGTCCTCAACCTTTTGGGGACCAGGGACTGGTTCCTTGGAGAAAGGTTTTTCCACGGACCAGAGTGTGCATGGTTTTGTGTGCTGCCTGCATCCCACGGATAGGGCTTGGGTTGGGGACCCCTGTTTTAAAGGATTCATTGTATACAAGGACTGCTATTGGTTCAAAACGACTGACTTCTTCTGACTGTTGTGGTAACTATTCGCATCTTACATCATTTGAAGTTTAAACATGGTGATTTCCATAGCTTATTGGAAAATTAATTTACCTTTTTCATGATTTGTGTTAGGTGGCAATTAGGTATTTGTGTATTTAATATGCCTGTCCTGGGAAACTCTAACTTATTTTGAGCTCAAAATGTTCGCAAAATACTTGAAATAGCTAGTTACACACTTGAAACCCATGTTTTGTACTCAAAACTGGGGGGGAGGTCAAAGCTGAAATGGTTCAATTTAAAAACATTTTATATACTCTTAATCCTGGTGAATATTTCTAACCCTGATGAATCCTAAGAAGTTTTGAAGAATTGAGATTAAAGAAAATATAAATAAAAGTTAAAATATTTCAATAATGCTGAAATATGATTGGCTCAAAGAAGAAATGCAATACAGTGATAGTCAAAACTGAAGGGATTCAGCAGGAGCTGGGCCTAGCTACAAAATAAGCATGAGGATAGAGTACCCATCAAACAGTTCTGTAAGTTCTAAAAGACTCCGAACAGGCACATAGTCCATATGTGTGAATCTTAGAGATCACAAACAAAAAGTCTACTTACCTAAGTTTTGGACAATTTTGCCCTAACGCATTCAAGATGGCATCAGTGATGTTGGAACAGCCAGAAGCACATAGAGATTGCAACTTGTGGCATCCTCTACATATTGTAATGAGGCCATCATCTGTTATTTGCTAGAAAAGGAAAGAAAGTCAATCATTCATAGCGAGAAGCATGAATGGGATGATGCTGTGTCCAATTTGCTCTGCAAATTCTAAAATTAAATGTTAAAAACTATTTGCTGGTGAAACAGTTGGATGAGTGACTTACAAAAAACCAGAATGCCAGAATGCCAAATGCATACAATCACCCCAAACCATTTCCTTTTTTGGACAAATGTTCCATTTTTGGCATCACCACAAACTGGTTCATGATATTTTCTTGGAAGAAAAAATGTACTTCCTTTTTCAGCTCTTTTTATACACACAGAAAAACAGACTGTATTTTTAACACATGTTGAAAATAAAAAGGAGACAAGACCAACAAAGCATGGCAGTTCAAAATAAAGTTTTTCCAGCGTGTTCTACAAACAAACTTTGAAAAAGTTCATACACAAGGCAAATGAAAACCAGATGGATTTACCAGACTAAATGCTAATATTACAATGGTTTTGGAAGATTTTTCAAGATATTAAAGTGATATTCATTATATAGAAATGTGAAGAAATAGTTGCCAATTTGAGAATTTAGAAACATTTAGTCATTGGATGGAGTCAAGCAAAGTCTTCAGAGTTTGAGCATGGAATAGATTACTTTTGCTTTGTCATTATAGTGACATAGTGAATATAGTGGCCTTTGGATTGATTGTTCAGAGTTCAGAAACTAAGTTATAAAAGCATTTGAGCCAAAGAAGTATTTTAAAATCCCCCAATTCAAAATTCATGCTATACTAGGAACAATGACAACTGATAGAAGGGATTAGGCATGGAGTATCCATTTATGATTTTAAAACAAAAACTGCCAGAAAACAAATCTTACAAAAACTCTTATTTTTAAATGCGTTAGTAGGAAGAGGGTAAATGGAGGGATAGATGCAGTTTGAAATCAAGGCAGGTAAACAACTACAAGAGAAAGCTTAAAAAAAATCTGCCATTTCAAAATTGCACAAATGTATATGTGTGAACACATGCACAAATACACACATTTATTAATCAGTAGATTGCTGTGGAAGCCTTGATACCCAATAATTCTATTTAGATGTTGTTTCCACTCTTATTTTCTTGTGTAATGAGAAAAGCAGGTAAAGCACCAAGGGATTCAGAAAGTGCAGCATGAATCCTTAACCCTGGGAATTTTATTTGGCTTGTTTGAAATTTGGAGAACACGTTTTTGTGAAAAATGGCTTCTAGGGGAATTTGTCCATTCACAGAGTAGCTGCCTTGGAGAATTTAATCAATTAAAAAGATAAGAGTTATCAGTCAGATATCTGCTACCCCATTTTTATTTTACAATCTACCTTTATTCTTTTTCTGGTCAATAGATAAATTTGGAAACAAACTAGCAGACTTCAATCATTTATCATATTTATGGGACCGCTGATGGCTTGGAACCAATATAATGCTTTTATATGCCACTCTCCCTCACCCCCTTATACATATGTATACACATATGTATAAAATGGTCATATGGATCAGAAAACTAGAAGGGTCTCATAAGAAAAATTGAAATCGAGAGATAGTGCCAGTGTTAACCAGGCTTCCTGACCATGCAGAAGATTGGACGATTAAGTAATCTCCGTCTTGCTCCTAAATCTACTGTGTTTAAAGCTTGATGTATTTTTTTTCCTTAGTAAATTATTAGAATCTGAAGGCACAAAGTTCAAAACAATAAAAAAGTGGCAGAAAAAATTACATCTGTTCTAATTGTGATAAGAAAGTCAACTGCCTATCCTCCTAATGTGTAAGTTAACATCATGGAATGTAGGGGGACTCAATGTTCCCCATAAAAGACGCAAGATTTTTCATTACTTAAGACATTTTAATAATGACATTATATGTTTACAAGAGACTCATATTGTGGCTAAAGATCAAAAACTATTATTGAACTCTAAGTTTGGAGAGCTGTTTGCTGCACCTGCCTTAAAAA